GGTTTGAAGGTCTCGCACTGCAGACAGCGGGCGTCCAGGAAGTCGCTGTAGGACGAGCAGGGGTAACCGGTGAGGGTGCAGGTTCGGTTCAGAGCGCACAGGAACAGGAAGACGGAGCGCTGATGGTCACACACAAAGTAAGATTTACCTGGAGGACAGAGATCACACTGCGCTCAGCACATGTGTGTTATTTAATGTGTGTGTGTGTCTCCCTAGTTTGTGTGTGGGCTCACCTGAAAAGATGGTTTTGGGACACCCCGGCTGGTCGGCGCCTCCATTGGCGTAGAAGTCAATGTGGCCATGAGCTCCTCTCAGTCCAAAGGCTGCGCACAGAGAGCACAGCGTGTAACACAGCGACTCTTACATGAGGTCACGAAGGTTTATTGCTTTTTAATAAATACTTTCTAAGTTCATAGAAGGGTAAGATGTGTTAAATAATAACTAGAATTAATTAAAATTGTATTAACATTTTCATTCACTTATATAACTATATTTATATAACTTGCTACTAATAATTTAAGAAAAAAACAATGTTTATAAACAGAATTATCTCTACTTCTAATGCCAACCCTTTTTTATTAATAAAAATGTGGAATATTTCCAAATAACAGTAATAATTCATAATAATATTCATGCTTTTAGTTTATGTAAAAGCATATTAATACAAATAAGTAAAATATAATTAAATATATGTCTGAATAATTTATGATCAGTAAATATATGTATTCATCTATAAATTAAAGGATTTATTGTAAAAGAAGGAAAGAGATTTGAATGATTTACCAGCTAATAACGTAAAAACATTTTTAGGGATGTTGGTCTGATCAATAGAAGATCCTATAAGAGCTGCTGTGACCTCACAGGCAACACTAGTGTTTGTAAATTAACAGAGTTTGTTTTTTGTTCCTCACACCATGACAACTAAAAGCTATTTATTTTCCAGTTGCTTTCTTTGTGTGTAAATGATCGAAGTATTAAGGGTCAATACTAAAATGATATTAAATCACTATTTAAATTATTATTAATTCTGCGTTAGATGCTTACAGTTCATGTCGGTGTGAAGGACGTCCACAAACATGGCGTCCGAGGGGTCCAGCCTCTCCTCCGGCGTGGCCCTGGTGAACATCGGTCCAGCAGGGTCCAGACCTGGAGAAGAGGAAGGAAAGAAGGGAGGAAGGAACGAAGCAAGGAGGTATGTGAGTGCTTTTGTAGTTTTCCGTCTGCTCACTCCACAGCGCTGCTTTCATTAAACTGAAAGGTTAAGAACATCTGTCATAAATACATGATAATGAAGTACATTTACTCGCATACTGCACCGCTCTGAGTACTTTATTTTACCTGTGATACGGCCAATCTTCCCCTTCAGGTTTGCTCCCACAAAACCAGCCAGGTGAGCTCCCAGACTGACGCCGATCAGGTGAACTGAGCTCAGAGAGGCTCCTTCAGCCTGTGGGCACAAAAGCTCAGCGTTACAGGTGAGGTATAACTCTGTCATAAAGACCTTTTAAATATACAGGATAATAAAGGACACGACAGAACTGCTGATTTTCACACAGACATGTCTTCTAATCTCTTTTTCTTTACTAAAATTTAATGTGCCCACACAGTGGCGGAAATACCAAAAGCACCAAAACTTAGATCCATTCTTAAGTACTTGAAGGACCTGTAACCTGGGAAATATTTAATACTTGTCATTTAAAAACATCTGTAGACTGGCTGAACTGGTAATTCTAGGCTTTGAGCCGGACTTCTTGGGTAGAGAAATGGATTTGGTGCCATTTAGAGCATTTTAATGCATGTTTCTGATAAATAACACAGTAGTTGAATGAACAATCTGTCCAAAGTTTGTGAAGTTTTATGTATTCTGTTTTGTGTCTTTGCATTGCATTGGTACACTTTGCCAACTGAGACTACTAGAAACAACTTGAACCATGGCCACTGCTGGCTCTAATAATCCTAGATGGTGAGAACCGTGAAGCTAAAGTGGACGTTCATATCTCAAACTTATGAGTGATGCTGCTTCTATTGGTCTATTGGTTCAACAATAGACTGCAGGATGATTACAGGAAGGGAAAATAAAGGTCTGGGCTGAAGGTCTGTCTCACCTCCATCGTCATGATGAAGCCCGTCAGGTTGAGAGCGGCCTCTCTGGTGTAACTCACAGCAGTGAAGTAGTTGAGGTTGGCTGCCCCTTTGTTCCAGTCCACCACGATTATGTTCATGTCTTCCTGCTCTGCTAGCAGGTGGACTATGTGGTTGATCCAGATAGGGGGAGCGCCGGTGGGCCGGTAGCCATGGATGACAAAGGCGGTGGGACGGGAGAGGCTGAAGAGTGGCTGGGAGGACAGGTGGTGGTGGTTCAGTTCGCGGCCACAGTCGAGGTTGGAGCGAGTGTAGAGCAGGAGCCGCACATACAGGGTGGTTCCCACGAAGCAGTGGGTCAGGTCGAGGTCGGTGAAGTTATCACAAGATTCGCCTGCTTCACTTTCCTCCTGGCCTGGAGTCACAACATGGAAGATCAGGAAGTTGTATTGCAAACTCAACTTTTACAGCTGAATTCAGGTTTTATGTAGAATTAAAATGAAAAACGGGTCCAAAGTTTCTACAGGCTACAGTGGGAATATTTGTTTCATCCATTTCAGTTTAGTAGATTTTTATATCATTTTAAAGCTAAGGCACTAAAAAATTTCAAGGTAAAGAGTCAATGATACTAATGAGCCCCAACAATCAGTCTGACTTCTGTAGACCGCAGCTCTACAGGAATACCACTTTTTGTAGCTAAATAACAGCTTCAAGCAGACAGCCAGTGTCATCATCCTGGATGATTCACAAACTGAATCATAGATTCAGGCTGACATTAGAGGCACAATCCACAGACAGACAGTAACAGGTTCAAAAACTGAAACTGCAGCAGTTTGAAAGGCATTCCATTTTTTAGCTTCTTCACATTACTTTGGATTGTGTTAAATGAAAAATAAAGACTATTAATGACTCATTTTATGTTATTATGTAATAATTGGTTTTGAATTCAGATAATAGCCTATCTACTGACAGTTTTGCTAGTTAGAGTTAATTAATTAATTAAAAGTAAGATTTAGTTAGTTAGCTTAAGCTAACTAGCTTAAGCCAAAATACTGTCATCAGCAGTGTTGTTTCATTTTACACACTCGTCCCTCTACAAATAAACCATAAAATAAAAAACATCTCAAACTGCTTGCTAAAACCAATG